ATTTTATAATATAGTATTGTTGCCTGTTGTCACATTTTCTGTTCATTTAAATTATTTTATTTGGATTGTGAGTAATGGCTGAAGGCAGGTCAGTGATTGATTTGTGGTTATAGGTAAACAGATCATATTAGTCTAATGTTCATTACAGTTTAGTCTGTGGTTTAAGGTTACATAAACTGTGCCTTTTGGGGTTTAGCAATTAAGAGTTTGCTCTCAGTGTATGTTCAGCTACGTGTGTGTAATATTTCTGAATCTTGTGTGTGTGTGTGTGTGTGTGTGTTTAGGGTCTTGCTAATCTGTTCATGGAGGACTCAATGCCCTTTCTAGAGAAAGAATTGGAGCCATGTTTGAAAAGCAAGAGGGCAGACAAGAGGAGAGTGTGGTTTGCGGTGTGTTTCTTTCCTACTTGGATCTTCTGCTACTGCTGTAGCGACTGTACAGATAAATTCCTATTATGGCATTGGATTTCTCCAGAACCTGCCCTTGATACTTGAAACTGGGGTGTGATGTTGACGTACATCTAGGATGCCCCACACCCAAATACCTTCAGGCCAGGGAGGCCAGAAATGTCACTATGGTGTTTCCTAAAGGGTGGAACAAACCAGAAACACATTACATTCCATAGCTGTGATTACTGACATATTCATCACTGAAAAACAAAGAATGATTAATAGAACACTTATGAATGATTCATGTTATTAATGAATGACCCTTGACCCCAGCCATTTGTCTTATAGACGGTTGAAGCCACTTATTTCCTGCTGCAAGAGCATCTATTTGAAAGGATGAAAACACTGAAGCAGGAGTGCCAAGAGAGGGTGAAACGACAGGATGTGCTCATGCGCTCTGATATGGACCAGATCACCAGCTCAACAGCTTTCCTGGAGGGTAAACTCAGAGGTACATGATCACACTAAAAACAAGCCCGTTTCTTGCTTTTAAGAGCCGTTCAAAGAATAAATAAAATCTCTCACTGGCCAACGTCTACTATTACATAATGTACACCCGTTCAAAAAGGTTTTATTTAAGGAATTAGTACATTTATTCAGCAAGGGTGCATTAAAAGTAAGATTAAAGACATTTATAATGCAACGAAGCATTTATATTTCAAAAATAAATGCCGTTTAAAAAAAACTCTCTATTCATATCCTGAAAAAAAAATGATTAAGGTTTCTACAAAAATATTAAGCAGCACAATTGTTTCCAGTATTTATAAGAATAAGAAATGTTTCTTAAACACCAAATCGGCATTTTAGTATGATTTCTGAAGAATCATGTGACACTGAAGACTGGAGTTAAAATATATTAAAATAGAAAACATATTTCACAATATTGCCATTTTACTGTAATCAAATAAATGCAGCCTAGGTGAGCATAAGAGACTTTTTCAAAAACATCTTACCGACCCAAAACTTTTGAACGGTAGTGTTTGATGTAAATATTTATAAATGTACATTTCTTTTGCATGTTCATTAGTGAAGGTTAATGTGTTTTTGGTCCCAGTTACTGTTGTAAAAATTTGTATATATCTGAGTACTACATTTTTTCTCTTCCCACCTGGTTAGCCATGGTAACTGAGCCAGCAACGAAATACTGCACAGAGCAGGTGCAGCCGTACCTGCCAGCCATCTTGGAGGAAGTGATGGG